TGTACAACTGGTGGCTCACACTTGAATGTGGCTTAACACAAATTGTGTTCAATGTCGTTGTTCTAAGTGGTAAAGGGGGGAAACATATATTTCATCCCACTGTGACAATGTAGTGGATAATCCAGTAATGTCTAACTTGGAGGGGGCACTAACGCCAATGCTGTGCTAAGTCTCCAACTTCCTGGACGGGCAGTGTGCAATGCCCACATGCCTGAGGAGGTTCCTAGGAGGTAACTGTTTCTGAGGAGGAAAGTGTTCCTGAGGAGGTAACTGTTCCCGAGGTGGTTTCTGTTCCTGAGGAGGTAAGTGTTCCTGTACTCATCACTCTTCTTGAGGAGGAAACTCTTTCTGAGGGAATGGCTGTCCCTGTGGTCACTCCAGGGCTAGGCTGTGAAGACGAGTCCTCTAGTGAAGGAGTCTGGAACTGATTCAATGCCATGAAGGTGACTCCCAGTCCTCAGCGCACCTGTGCTTGGCTGGACCCCTCTTCACTCTGTCCTGGCCTCCTCCTGTCTCCCAGCCATGGGTCTGGGTGGCTGGAATGCAAGGCAGCTGTGTACACACTCTGAGTTCTTTTTTTTTTTTCTTTTTGGGTCACACCCAGCGATGCACAGGGGTTACTCCTGGCTCTGCACTCAAGAGTTACTTCTGGTGGTGCTCAGGGGACCATATGGGATGCTGGGAATCGAACCCGGGTTGGCCACGTGCAAGGCAAATGCCCTACCCGCTGTCCTATCTCTCCAGTCCATCTGAGTCCTTTCTTTAGGTGAGCACTCAGCTTTCTACATCTCCCTTGGCCTCCTCTTTGACCCCTTGGAGCCTTGAGCCCATAGACCCCATTAACCACTACTGTGACCACCCTACCCCCCCGGTCTGGACCCTCACACTAAATTTGCATGTAAGCATATATGGAACCCCTGACTCACTGGCCTCTAGCCCTGAGCTAACCTCCTGCCCTTAGCTGATAGAAACGGGAGTCCCACCATTGTCACCTGGCCACTGCTCCTGATGAGATGTACAGGGGTCCCTAAATCTGTTTTTCCTCTGAGAGGGCCCCATAATAGAGGACCTTTCCAGGGAGGAAGCTTCTGGCCTCCACTGGTGGATGGAGGGGACTCTGGTGCCTTGGAAGCCCTGCCGTGTCCCCCACCCCCACCCCAAGTTTTGAACACGCACTTATTGAAACCAGGACTGGCTCCCTGGAATTCAGAAGAAAATTCCAGAGACACATTGATGGGCTCTGATATGTTTACAGCTGCCTCCCAGCACAAGAAAATTATTCTTTTGCTTTTCACTGTGTTGCAGCAGTGCTGCTTGGTGTGTTTACTTCTCTTGCCGGGGTTTTGCTAGTGGCTGGAAAAGAATGGTCCTGGGTGAAGCCCCTCCTGCACTATTCTGCAGGGCTGAAGTCCTGGTACCACTCAGGGTACACTCTGCCCACAGAGCCTGGGTCAGTTTCTGGCTCCTGGGGGGGAAGCTCCATGGCCGAGATGAGGCCATTAGCAGAAAGAACAGTCGAAATCCAGGCATTTCAACTGTGATCCGGCTCAATAGTTTCCTGTCTTACATTATTTGCATGAAAGAGGGGGTGGGAAAAGCCAGAAATGTTTTCCAGGGCATTTCCTTCCTTCCACCCCCTATCCTGCTACAGATACAGCCAGAAGATTTCATGGCAGTGGAGGGTCTGTCCCACAGGGCTGAGTTTTCATGTCCGTCTTGAGGGGGAGTGACAGTGGCTCTCTGTCGCCACTGTGCAAATGTGGAGCCAGAGATCGGGCTCAATGCACTAATTAATTCCTTCATGATCTTAGTTTCTTTTCTTTTTTTCCCCTTTGGTTTTGGGCTCACCCCTGGTGGCACTCAAGGATTATTCCTGGCTCTGTACTTAGGCTCAATTCTGGTGGGCTCAGGGGACCCTTTGGCGCTGAGAATTGCAGCTGCCAGGAATGCGCTCCAGTACTTTGAACCATCTCCCTGGCCCTGGCCCCAACTTTCATATCAAGCCTGTCACAAATTTCCTCATAGAAAATACTCTTTGAAAGGCTTTCATTCCACTGGCCTCTCGGGTCCCTTCCCGCCTCGTCCGGCTTCCCATTCCTGCTCTTTCCTCTGAGGGGGCTCATCTCTTCCCAGAGGATGGTGCCGTAGGGGGAAGGCTGAAGTGCGTGCACCCCCTCCTCCCGCTGCTCTCTGCCTTACAGGCTGTGACTTTGCCCTTGCTGCTTGTCTGTACTGGATGAATTGAACTGTTGCCTCTGTCCTTGGCTCCATGGAGTAACCAGGTCCTCCCAGCCCTGTGAGGCTTGTGACTTCCGGGGAGAGGGCACAGAGAACACGCTGCCTCCCAGACCTCGGAGTCCTGCCCTCTGAAAGTCCAGATCTTCTCACCTCCTCCTCTGCCAAGCTGCCCCCAGGCCCCTGCCCGCTCCCAGCATTCCTCTGACTGGGAGCCGCTTTTAGGGCCCCTTTGGTCTTCCCAGGCCCCTTCACACTACCGCCCTAATTGGATTTTAATACCATCAAGCCTACTTTCTGGCTTTTACTACCGGCTCTGTGGGGTGTGGATTATCTGTCCTGGCTGCAGTTGTAGTATTCCCAGGAAGACTACTAGTCTGCAATGAGATGTGTAATTAGATATAATTAGAATAGCACAAAGATCGAGGCATGGAATGCATTATGTGTGTTTCATTATGGGAAGAAGAGTGGGTGTTTGGCACCTCCCTGAGCTAAGGAAGAGGCTCTCAGCTATTCACCTGTGGGTCTCAGAGGAGTCACTTCTGTGACTCAGTTTCTTCACCTGTACTGCTCTTCCGAGTTCTTCCTAGTTCTGACACTGGTTCAATTTGATTTCAAGCCGCTTGCTCCTGGAGGTCTGGCTGTGTCCTCTGTGCACAGATTTGTTGCTTAGAGAAGAAAAATAAACAGGGCAAGGCCCCTCCCTTTCAAATTGGAACCATCTATTGTAACGACAGGAAGTGGGGGGGGGGGGTTATCCGAGGAATAGAGAACAAGGGGACCAGTGATCTCACCAGGAGAAAGCTGGGAGATTCCGGAGAGTTGATTCTAATGAGATGCTTCCTGCAGGAGGAGAGATTTCCGCTGCCTTTGTGGGAGGCAGTGGATAGTGGGAGAAGGGGAGCCTGAGGCAGGCATGTGGGCAGAGCCGCGATGGGGGGTCACCAGCCGGGCCTGCCTCCCATGTGCTAAATATAGAGGGTGAGCCTGTGGGTACTGCTGCTGCCGACTCCAGCTGAGACGCACGTGGAGCTCCCAGGGCAGCAACCTCCCAGGAAGATCTGTCTGGACTGCTGTCACACTGCAGGATGGTTCCTGATCAGCACCATCCTGTGGAATAAGGGCTTGATGTTGAGGCCCAGCGAGATGACACATAGGACTGGAGCACATGCTTAGGATGTGGGGACACTAGGTTTGATCCCAGCACCACAGGGACCCCAGAGCGCTGAGCCAGATGTAACTCCCCCACCAAAACCCCACTCAAATAATAGTTACCTACTTCGGTCTCGAAAAAGAACAGAAGGGCTTTATGGTTATATTCACGTGCATCAACACAAAAGCACAAGATAAAAAGGAATCAGAAAACTAGAAACTGTAGGGTGAGCCCAGAGAAGTGCAATAATGCCCGAAGACCTTCCCTTTGTCGCCCGTGATGGCCTGCACTGCTGGCAGCAGCTTAGCTACAGATGCATCTTGTTTTGTCACCAGTTTTAATTTTAAAAGAATAACATTGCTCTGGAGCGGTAGCACAGCGGGTAGGGCGTTTGCCTTGCACGCAGCCAACATGGCCGACGCGAGTTCGATTCCTCCGCCCCTCTCAGAGAGCCCGGCAAGCTACCAAGAGTATTCGATATGCCAGACACAGTAACAACAAAGTCTCCAATGGAGACGTTACTGGGCCCGCTCGAGCAAATCGACGATCAACGGGAGGGCCTTTACCTTTACCTTTACCTTAACATTGCTCTCGGAGATTCCATGCTCAGATTCAGACTGAGCCTTCATTGCCAGAGATTTGAGATCATGCTTTTTAGTCATGCTAACTGTTCTTTTGTGAACAGATTATAGGAAGAGGGGGGAGATGAGAGAGAGAGAGAGAAAGGAGAGAGAGGGAGGGAGGGAGAGAGAGAGAGAGAGGGACTAGAAGGTAAGGCCTGGCACTGCTTCCTCTAAACCTATTTCAATTCCTGGCATTGCATAAGATACCTGAGCATTACAGAGTGTGACCCCAAATAATAATAAATGGACAGATTATAAACAAGAGCACATGCCCAGGGCCTGTGTCTATGGCCAATGTCGCTAATGTACCTTTGATTTTTTTTTTTCTGTAGTGGATATTTTTGGGCCATACCTGGTAATGGGGCTAGAGCGATAGCACAGCAGTAGGATGTTTGCCTTGAACGCAGCCAGCCCGGCCAAGCCGGGTTCAATTCCTCCACCCCCTCTCGAAGAGCCCGCAAACTACCGAGAGTATCTCGCCCGCACGGCAAAGCCTGGCAAGCTACCCGTGGCATATTCGATATGCCAAACACAGTAACAACAAGTCTCATGATAGAGATGTTACTGGACCCGCTCAAGCAAATCGATGAACAACGGGAGGACCTGGTAGTGTTTTGGGGGCCACATCTGGTAAGCTCAGTGCTTACTCCTGGAGGGCTCAGGGGACCATATGTAGTTCTGAGGATCAAACCCAGGTTGGCATCATACAAGGCAAGTGTCCTACAGCCCTGACTTTTTTTTTTTTTTTCAAATAGAAAACCCAAGCTTTGAGGTAGAAGAGCATTCGCTCACTTTGAAAACAGAGCTTCCAATGCTATTGCCTCTTAGGAAAGGCTTTGCTCTCTGCTTCCCTTCTCTCCGTCCCATGTGTGCTTGTGCCACCTGGGAGACCTCCCCATGCAGCGTCCGGGCTGGAGCTGAACCCAGCAGAGTGTGCCCTGTGCCTGCGAGTTCTCAGACAGCTACCCCCCTCTCTCCTTGACTCCCAGTGTGAAGCAGCACGCACGCTATGGCCAGCTGATCCTGGTCAACTCCACCTCGGCTGACACAGGCGAGTTCAGCTGCTGGGGGCAGCTCTGTGATGGCTACATCTGCAGGCGGGATGAGGCCAAGACGGGCTCCACCTACATATTTTTTACAGGTAAGCTCTTGTTTGCACTGGAAGAACACTTGGGCCAGTGAGCGTGCAGAGATCCTCTGCTTGCCCTCCTCAGCTGGCACCTTACCTGGTCCGTTAAGCACTGCTGACCCCCAAACCAACCTCTGTTCATGGCCCAGATAGACGTTTCCCCACCTGGCGAGTATCAAATAATGACGACAATCCCTCCCTGGGTGCAGGGCTCTCATGCCAGTGATCCTACTTCATTCTGAGCCTCACAACCCTCCAAGTAAGGACTAAGGCTACTTTGTTGCCCACCTGCCATGGAAAAGTCCAAGTTTAAAGAGGTTAAATTAATCCTGAAGGCTGCACAGCAAACTAGGGGCTGTATCAGGATGGGACCCCAGAATTGACGAACTCTGAGTGTTTACCTGCAGAGTCCAATGTTGTGATCATCGTGAGAGGTATATGCATAGATTTAAATTGATTTTTTTTTTTTTTGCTTTTTGGATCACACCTGGCTTTGCACTCAGGAATTACTCCTGGTGGTGCTCAGGGGACCATATGGGATGCTGGGAATCGAACCCGGGTCTGCCGCTTGCAAGGCAAATGCCCTACCTGCTGTGCTATTGCTCCAATCCCCCATGCAAAGATTCAAATAGGAAGTAATTGAGATTAAATAATGAACAGTTCCTCAGTGGCACTTGCTAGGTGTTCCTGCTGCCACATGTGGAGACTGGCCAGTGCCCATGGAAAACGTGGTATCATGGCAGAATGTTCTGTGGCAGCACCTGGCTCCAGGCCCCTATGCCCACAACCCATACTCTCCTTTTTGTCCCTGGAGGCCAAATTCTGCTGGCTAGGGGCCACCCAGAATTTGTTGTTCAAGTGCTCTGAGCAGAAGTTTTCGAGATAGGATTCTCCCAGGACTGTGGCCCTTGTGGCTCAGTCCCCATCCCAGAGTCTAAGGGAGGCGCCTGAGAATGCACTGCGGAAACAGGCATGACCAGTGGCTTCCCAGTCTCCTTCCTCTCAGACTCCTCCTAACTCTGCTGCTGGTCAAGTTCTCCAGCAAGGTCAGGTCTGGAAGAGCCGTAAGGAATCTTCAGGCCATACGCTGGTGCCATTGTTGCCTAAGACAGCAATTCTTGGCCATGGTTGGAAAAGGCTGAAAAATGCCAGCCTGAGGCATTATCAGGTAAAGCCAGATGCTTCCTGAGTCTAGACAGGAGCTTTGCTGAGATTTGTCTGCACGATGACTCTATCAACCGTCCGCCTGATAGAGACTTCAGCCTCTTCCGTTCATGCCAGGACACAGGAGATCATCTGTGTCACTGAGCAGGATCACTTTTTCTCAGAACAAAAACTTGAGCAAAAGCTGTTTTCCCTCCTGGCAGATGCATTATCCCTCTTATATTTTGGGAGGACATCTATCTCCAACTCCCCCCCCACAAATGATCAAATTTTGAATTAAGAAATAAGAGGCAGAAAAGGGCAAAGGGTGACTCTGTTGCCCCCAACTGTAGAGGCCAAGGGAAGAATTAGCCTACAGATTCTGGAGTTTGAGGCTGACCCTTGTGCTTCAGGAATGAACATCCTTTTTGTGAATCTAAGGGAAACTAAAAAACATTTATGAACTGGAGATATAGTAAGGGGGTAAGGCACTTGCCTTGCATGCCACTGGTACCAGTTCAAACCCCTTTTGGTCCCCAAGTCAGGATTGATGGATTGATCACTGAGCACAGCATATATATATATATATCCATGTATATATATATACATATATATATATATATACATGGCTCCATCCTGACAAATTATCACAGTTTACAGGAAACCTGGATCATATGAGGATGTGATGTAAGGCACTGTATCACGTGCCCATCCTTCAATACTAAGCATCCAGTGGATTTGGGGTGGAGGATTTAGCCATTTGTCTTTTCAGGCATGAGGGGGTTTGAATCACTGGGATGGGCTCTTTCAGAAGCTGGTTCCTACTGCTCTCCCAGAACACTTTCCTGCACCCCACACAAGGAAGCGTCTGGCATTCATTATGCTTGTGTCCTTATGCTTGGACTGAAAAGACTGTGAAGGCATTTTGGTTGGTTTCTAATTGGGAAACTGACACATTATATTTGGGGGGAGGTATATTGGGACACACCCAGTAGTGCTCAAGGCTCACAACTAGCTCTGTGCTCAGGGATCACTTCTGGCAGTAATGGGAATTGGCCACATGTAAGACAAGTGCCATATCCTGGGAATTGGCCACATGTAAGGCAAGTGCCATATCCACTGTACTATTTTTAGCATTTGGGTTTTATAGTATTATAAGTATTTAGCTTTATAAGTATTTAGCTTTCTAAATGTGTTTGTCCTCTGTGTGAGTGGAAATCAACATATTTGCAGGGGACACAGTTAATCTAAATTTATTTCAGTTTTGCGGATCTACCTAGTAATGCTCAGAGGACCACGTGGCACTGGGCACTGAACACAGGACTCCTGCAGGTGAAGCCTGAGTGCTAGCCCACTGAACTATTCTCCCCAGCCCCACAAATAAATTCTTTTTCTGTTATAAAAGTAATTGGTGTGGTCACATTTGCCAAAGCCTGTATTGGAATATGAGGCCACACATACGATTGTTGGCTTATTCTCCCAGCTTTGCTTATTGGTTCAGAGTCCTCTACAGGAGATGAAGAGCTAGTTCAGCAGGGAGGGTACCTGCTTTGTATGCAGCTGACCCCCGGAAGCACGTGTGGCTCTATCAACATTACTGGTATGCCCAGCCCCCTCCTTCCTTAAGGAAAGGAAACACTAAATCTTACAATCATAAGTTCCATAAGTGTTCTTGTTAAAAAAAGATTTTCTTCTTTTTCTAAAAGCTACCGAGAGTATTCAATATGCCAGACACAGTAACAACAAAGTCTCCAATGGAGACGTTACTGGGCCCGCTCGAGCAAATCGATGATCAACGGGAGGGCCTTTACTTTACTCTAAATGGAAGTGTTGGCACATGAAGAGACTACACTGTGTGAACATGTGGGTGTCAGCCACAACACTGACAGAGTATTGTGAAGCTGTGCACATCATCAAGGCTGAGGCAGAGCCAGTGAAGATGGAGCCTCTGACAGACAGCCAGCACACAGGCTGCAGTGCTGGTTTTACACGCAGGACGCCCAAATTTGACCTTGCGCACCGGCAGGAGTGACCCTAGAGCCTGAGCATTGCCAGGTGTAACCCCAAATGACCAAAGTAGAGCCTCACCTTAACTCTTCTTTTTTTTTTTTAATCTCAGTTGGAGGTGGTGGAGGACCTCCAGGTTCACATCCTTGACACTCCCATCTAACAAACTCTTAGTCCAGGAAGACATTTGAAGTTGTATTAAGGGATTCTCTTCTCAACCTCTCCTGTCAGGATTGTGACAGGAAGGAGGTGAGGGAGAAAGCCAAGACAAGTGATTTGTTTCAGGCATAACCAGGACAATATTATTATAAGAAAGAATTTAGCCAATGTTGGGGTATAAGTTCAAATATTTTCTGAGAAATTTCTGAGACAGTCCCTCACTATATGATCTAGAGAACCAAGGATTTAACGTGTTATATCAAAAAAACGAAGCAAAGCAAAACCAAAACCCAAAAAGTCCAATCAGAGCCCTCTGACTGTCATGGTTCTGTCAGATGTGAAGGCCAGCATGCAGTGCTCGAACAATAGCAAAGGAATTTCAGGAGACAGGACTATTGGACGGTCAGCTGGGATCCAGCTTGTGTGTGGGCAGGGAGGACACTGTCTCCCCGGAGTGCAGTTACTAAAAATGGCTGAAATATTAAAAATGTCTCCACACAAACAGAGCAGGGGGTTCATGGGTTATAAAAGGGATAATTCCCTTCCTCCTTTCTGGGCCTGGATCAGTAGCAAGTCAGAAAGGAAAGGCAAGGGAAAAGGGACTTTCCTATTGCTGAGAACCTGGTATATTTTCGGTTCCTTCTCACCTCTGTATGGATGTACAGAACCTTAAGCTGCTCTTCCTCTGAAGAGCATATCGCTGGGTGATATACGGAGAGTGTAGGGTGCAGAAACTTTGAACATCAATTTCAAAACTGTGGACACTATTGTTACCATAGCACAGCGGGTAGGGCGTCTGCCTTGCACGCAGCCAACATGGCCGACCCGAGTTCGATTCCTCCGCCCCTCTCGGAGAGCCCGGCAAGCTACCGAGAGTATCCTGCCCGCATGGCAGAGCCTGGCAAGCTACCCGTGACGTATTCGATATGCCAGACACAGTAACAACAAAGTCTCCAATAGAGACGTTACTGGGCCCGCTCGAGCAAATCGATGATCAACGGGAGGGCCTTTACTTACTTTACTTTACTTTAAAAAACATAATTAGGCCAGAGCGATAGTACTGCAGGTAGGGCATTTGCCTTGCATGTGGCTGACCTGGGTTCCATCCCTGGCATCCCATATGATCCCCTGAGCGATGCCAGGAGTAATTTCTGAGGGAAGAGCCAGGAGTAACCCCTGAGAATTGACAGGTGTGACCTCAAAAGCAAAAAACAAAAACAAAAACCCAAAAAAAGCATAATTATGGTCAGGAGAGATAGTACAAGGATATAGGGCTGATCCTTTTGTCTCTGTGGAATAAATAAATCTCTGCTTTTCCTTTACAGAGAAAGGGGAACTCTTTGTGCCATCTCCCAGTTACTTTGATGTTGTGTACCTGAACCCTGACAGACAAGCTGTGGTTCCTTGTCGAGTTACTGTATTATCAGCCAAAGTCACTCTCCACAGGGAGTTTCCAGCCAAGGAAATCCCAGCCAACGGCACAGACATCATGTATGACGTGAGGAGAGGTTTTGTGTATCTGCAGCCTCATTCTGACCAGCAAGGGGTTGTCTACTGCAAGGCTGAGGCTGGGGGCAAGTCTCAGATCTCTGTCAAGTACCATCTGCTCTACGTAGAAGGTAAAGCTTATGTTCTGCTAGGGCCTTTGGCCCTCAGTGTCAGATCCTGCCATTCCCTACTGTGGGTGCATAGAGAAGGTGCAGAAATCAGTTCTTATCTGTTTCTTGACAGCACCAACCTTTCCAGAATATCCTACCTGTTAGCCTGTGACCCCAGTAGCACTTAACTTCCTTCTTCCCAGATTCTTTCATCATTTGCCAGTGTGTGAGTGACCAGCTCCCCCCCACCACTTTTTTTATAAGTACATTTTATTTTATTTTTTAAATTTTTTGTTCATTGGTCACTTTTATTTATTTATTTAATCACTGTGGGAAAAGTTACAAAGCCTTCAGGTTTAAGTCCTGGTCATGCAAATATCACATTTCCCTTTACCAATACTTATTTTTCACCACAGAGAACCCCAATAATTCCCCCCCAACCCTCCCAATGCCTGTGAGGCAGATGAATTCTAGTTAACACTCTATCTACTTTGACTCAATTTATTGTTTCGACAAAAGATGCACCCTTATTATTTAGAGTTTACACCCCCAAATCAGACCTGATGAAAAGGCATTGTGAAATGATTTGTTTTCTACAGCTGGTCACAAGAATTAAACGATGTCGTGTGGCCGCAATAGCGGCCGCGAGATTTTGGATTTCTGGTATTTTACTTATTAACCCTGTAAGTATTTCTGCTGAGAGTAAGATAATTATAGATTGGTTTCTGTGCTCTGGAGCCATGGCCATGCTGGAGAGCTGCTCGTGGGGGGCAACTCGTGACCTCGGTAGGGCATGAAGGACGAGGAAGGCCCCCCTTCCCATGAGGTTTTAGTCGTCCCATCACGACCAGCTCATACCTGGCTTTCCACAAAGCTCCCAAGCAGCTACCATCTTTCTTTCCAGAGGGAACCCCCCCACCACCACCACTTCTTACCTCAGCCTCTCAGTGACCATCTGGATCCTTTGCCACAATCAGATCTGCTGTTTCCTCAGGCACTGTCTGGTCCCCTGTCAAGGCCAAGAGCTGGGGTGGTTGACCTTGTTACACCCATTCCCACTTCCCAACCCTCACGGTCTCACTCCCGCCGTGGGACACAGGCCATACTGGTCTGCTCATCTCCTTTTGTCCATGGCAGGCTATCTTTCTCACTCTCTTTTCGGAGGATGTCTTCTGCCTCAAACTCATTTGTCTGACCCAATTCCTGCCTGGTTGCTCTACCTCAGACACCTGGTTTCTTCAGTCAGCATGCCAACTTACTCTAGCGTGGGAATCACGAGCAGCTCCAGCCTCAGACTTATACCTGGACTTATTCAGCATTTACTGACTCCTCTTCTGCTCCGTACCTTCTTGCTGTCCACTCTCCTCAAACACTCTCCTCTATGCTTCGCACAGCAGCTCTGGCTGGGACCCTTGGGGCCTCCTATGCTTTTAAATCCAGCAGACAAATGTTGGTTCTCATCCTACTTGATTCTGCCTTGCCTGCATGAAACTCCCTGGGCCCCATTCCCTCTGCTTTCTCCTAACAAACTTATTCTACTTTGTCAGCCTGTTGAGTCTCCCTGATTGTAGATGTTGGTGTTGCCCAGTTCTTTCTCACTCCAGTTCCCCCCCCCCCCACAACTGGGGACTTTTCCACCATATCAGTCTCTGAACCTCAGATGTTCAATAGGTTACTGAGTATTCGGGGTCCAGAATACTAGGAGCATCAACTTTCCTGTCAGCCTATCTTTGAACTCCGGACCTTCCTTGTCACAGCCTGTCAATCACCTGATGTATGGGACCAAGACTGGGCGTGAACTTGATCATCCCATCTCTCATTTTCTATATTTTTCCATTTATAGTTTCCAATTGGTCTCCATTATGGTCACTTCCCGCCCGCCCCTCCGTTTTCCACACAGCTGATTATAATTCCTTTTGGAACTATTTAGTAGGTATGGCCTTCCCTAGAACCAAGGTCAGTGAATTTCCTCTGGTCAGCCGCAGCCTGTGCCCCATGGTGAGGAGCTCTGAGCACCTCCTGTGAACACAGGTCCCAGCAGAAAGGTGTTGTGAGGCCAGAAATCCTTTTAAAATAGACTTCCCATAAAAGCAGCTACATCACATTGAGCCTCCATGCCCAGCAACCTGGCCTGCTTCTTTTGGAGGCGTTTCATAAGGCCATTCTGGGCTTGACTGCTTCGCCTCCATGCCCACCATTCATTGTAGACTTTTTGCTTGCTTTTGGACCATACCTGGTGATGCTCAAGAGTTACTCCTGGCAGTGCTTGGGGAGTCATATAAGGTGCCGAGGATTGAACCCAGCTCGGCCCCATGCAAGACAAGGGCCCTACTCACTGTATTCTCTCTCCAGCTCTTGTCACACACTGCTTTCTCAAACATCCTGGGTTTCCTTTAAGCTTGAAACCCAATTCAGGTTTCAGATGAACCATGTAGGGGCCTATTTCACATCTCCCTCCTCCACTAAGGCCCCACAGGCTCAGAGAGTGTCTGTCCAGCTCACTGCTGATGCTCTAGCTGGCGGCTCTCTGACTTGCTCTAGGTACCATAAAAAACGATGTGAGCAAGCTGACAAGGAACATTCTGGAATGTTCCGAAGAGGGGAGAGTGCCAGTGGGAGGCTAGAGTTCTGGGCTAGAGCAGGCTTTGTCCTTGTGTTGTGCCCATGACTTTCCTCTCACCTGCCCTGTCTCTTCACTTCCAGTCCCCAGTGGCCCTCCATCCACCACCATCTCAGCATCCTCAAACAAAGTGAAAGGTGGGGACGACATCAGCATCCTCTGCACTGTCCTAGGAGAGCCTGACGTGGAGGTGGAGTTCAGGTGGATCTACCCGGGGCAGAAGGTAAGCACTGCGGGACCCCACCAGCTCTGAGTTCCCTTTGGGGTCACCTACTGGTGATGACACAACTCCTTGAGAAGTGCAAGTCATGTGCGATGTATAGCAGAGGTAGGATATGCTCTCAGATACACTCTCCCTGTCCTTAAGAACCAACTGAAAATTCCCTCAGGCTTTCATGAAGCAACTCACTTCACATACTCTCTCCTCATAATTGATTTTAACTTTTTAATATTTTTTTTTGCTTTTTTGGGTCACACCCAGAATGCTCAGGGGTTACTCCTGGCGGTACTTGGGGAACCATATGGGATGCTGGAGATTAAACTCAGGTTGGCTGCATGCAAGGCAAATGCCCTACCCGCTGTACTATTGCTCCAGTCCCCAAGTGATTTTACTTTTTAACCCATAAGAAGGGCCATGCCCATGAAAAGGGAAGGAAGTACACCCCTTCTTTCTCCACGCCCAAGCTGGAATTTAACTCTGGCAAGATTCTAGACCAATCTACAGCCCTTTAAATTTCTTTCCCTAGTCTTCCTCCCACTGCCCCCCCCCCCCACCGCCGCCGCAGCCTGTGCCCCATGGTGAGGAGCTCTGAGCACCTCCTGTGAACACAGGTCCCAGCAGAAAGGTGTTGTGAGGCCAGAAATCCTTTTAAAATAGACTTCCCATAAAAGCAGCTACATCACATTGAGCCTTCATGCCCATCACTAAAATAAACAGTTTTGCTACCAACATGGAACAATCCTTTTGTTGCCAGAACAGTTTGGGCTCCCGAGACCTGCAGAAAGCCAACGGGAGTCAGAGCAGCTGTTGGCGGAAAATAACTCTCTGGAGAACAATTTCGGTCAGCCTCCAGGTAGACCTGCTATTTGCCAAAGTGCTGTCACAATAGACAGGAAAGATTGTCAAAGGGATTTTTAAAACGTTGCTAAGGTTCATTCTTATGCGTTCACTTAGTAATGCTACAAGCATCATAATTATGCAAAACTCATCCAGAAAATACTTCTTCCTCACCAATGTTGGATGAAACCGCTCATAAATGAATAGAAATAGGGGGCAACCTCATCGCAGCATCACCTTGCCTATCTGGGGCACAACTGTCATGCATCTGGAGCCATGTCAGATGACATGTTTCCCTAATCTGAACAAGCTTTCATTTACGCTGGCAGAACTTTGGTTGGACATGGTTTTTTGTTTTAAATTCTGTGAATAAGGAACGGTGAGTAGTCCATGTAGGGAGGGGGATGTGGAAAATTTTATCCTGTTTTTATGCTTTATATTGAGCCCCAGAGAAAGCCAAATAGCACCATGAAACTCGAGACTCTACTTATGGGGGGGGGGGGGGGGAATAAGGCAGCCAAAAATGGTTATGACACAAAAGCGGAGGTATGTGTACTGCATAGTCCTTGGGAAGTGTGGGTTTTGCTCTTTGGAAAAAACACTCACTGTGCTGGGTGAAGGGGCGCTGTTTATAGTCGCTTGTACTTTCTGCTTCTACTTTCTGATGTCGTTCCATAGGACGAGAGGCCTGTGACTATCCGCGACACATGGAGGCTGATCCACAGGGGGCTCACACACACCACCCGGATGTCCCAGAGTGTCCTCACAGTGGAGGACTTTGAGACCATTGACATGGGATATTACATTTGCACGGCTCAGAACCCCCAAGGACAGACTACAGTAGCCACCACTGTTGAGTTTTCCTGACATGGAAAATGAAGCATAATGGACTGATAGAAAGCCTGTGGATGCAGACGACCAGCTTCGGGGCGCTTTTGATTTGCGCTGCCAGAGGCCAATGGAAGGAGCCAAACTCCAGCCCCTGCCTTGTGAGTCAGACCCAGATATCTGCCAAGAAGGAAGTCCTATGGTCTAATCATAGAAGTGCTAACTCTCCCAACAGAAAACATGTACTCTTACCGCTTACCTTCCATGTGTGTGCTTGTAGTTCTCATACAAAGAACGTATGTATGTAAACAACTTTATATAATCATTTCTATTAAATGTGCAGACTTTTATAAAAAATTAAAACTGGTCTAAATGCTATTTTCTTTTTTTGTGGGGATATTCCCAGCAGTGCGTGGGATGCCCTATGGTGCAGGGATTCTATGCCTGTCAGGTATATACCCCATCCCTTTGGGAGACGTCCGGTACTGAGGGATAATTTCTGCCTCTGCTGCTCAGGAGTGATGCTTCGGTGCTCGGGAGGACAATATTGATGTAGGGGATCAAATGGGGTCGGCAGCTACAAGGTAAGTTTCTGGCCTTCTATAATCTGACATGCAGAAGAGTTGCTCGTCAACAATGTTCTGGCCAATACCTTGTATTCTAATGAATCTAAACGTGTGGAAACGCGTATTTCAACTACTTATGCAGGAGCAGCAACTCAAGATGTGAAGCTTAGACAAATTTTTGTCCCCCTCTATAGCAACTGGCTGGAGCAGCAGGTAGGGCATTTGCCTTGCACACGGCCGACCCAGGTTTGATTCCTCAGCCCCTCTCAAAGAGCCTGGCAAGCTACCGAGAGTATCCTGTCCACACAGCAGAGCCTGGCAAGCTCCCTGTGCCATATTCGACATGCTAAAAACAGTAACAACAAGTCTCACAATGGAGACATTACTGGTGTCTACTCACGATAAAAGAGGGGAGGACAGTGCTAGAGTGCAGCCCTCTATAGCAACTTTAAAGCCAATGAGTTATACAGGTTTTGAAAAAAATGAACCAGCATAACTATTAAAACCCGTAACAACACCTGGCTTTCAAATATGCTTAGCTTTGACTTTTTTTTTTATAAGAATGCATAACTGCATTTTATTTTATTTTTGCTTTTTGGGTCACTCCCGGCGATGCTCAGGGGTTACTCCTGGCTCAGGCACTCAGGAATTACTCCTGGTGGTGCTCGGGGGACCATATGGGATGCTGGAAATCGAACTCGGGTCGGCCATGTTGGCTGCATGCAAGGCAAACACCCTACCCGCTGTGCTATCGCTCCAGCCCCCAGCTTTGACTTTTTTTGAAAAGAAAAGCTACTTCAAAGTCTAGCTGTGTGAGCCAAATGTTAGCCCATAACTGGCCAGATTTTATAGTTACACTGGAAATTCCGGGAAAATAACTTACAAGAGATGTAGGATCAGTCCTGTGCTGTGATTAGTGTTAGATGGTGGATAAAATACTGAAGAATGAAATATGCTAGAGGTTACAACTCTTAAATGAAATATTCCAGCATTCTTTATTTGATCAAAGTAAATACACTTTCCAGCACTACAAACTGAGCACAACTACAGCTGTTTACACATCCATATTTTTATGACGTGCCGACATTTTGCACCCTACATAAAACATTTGGTTTGAAAAAAAAATCAAAGTTCTCTGTTTTGATTCCTATCTTCTCTCCTGTTATCTCCCAGTCTCTAAAGACAGTTAACTCTAATTGTGAGATTGATTTCTCCAGTCACCCTTCGGACCTGGAGGTCAGCAGGGAACAGTGAAATTTACCAAGTGCAGCAGGGGAATGGTCAAGCCAGCTTTGACTCCTGACATGAGCAGAGAGAAATCCAGGAGGTGGCAGTGAATCTACATTCCCATATGATTAGAAGCAAACATGGAAGGTTCCATCATAGATAATAAAACTACTGAAGCTTTAAAGACTCAGACACAATCACTAATTAAAAAAAATGCATCATGAATATCATCTCGCTTTGTAGAAGACATGGAAATGATGACGTGAATACCCACCTTCGGCATCCCGAACCTGTTCTTAGTATAGGGGAATTTAGACAGCAAACAGCTCAGATTAGTAAATACTGACATGACGATGTGGACACGTGCAGGAGAGGGAGAAAAAGCCACAGTCCTTCCTTCCACCTCCCCCGAAGTATCAGAATTGGGAGAAAGTAGCAAGCTTTTTTTTTTTTTTAAGTGAAACAAGGTAATTTTGCTAAAAAAACTTGCTTATAAAGACATGAGAGGAAAGAAAATGTGTTCAAGGAAGAACACCTCTCTAGAGTAGAAGTAAATGAGCCAAAAAGCAAAATCAACAACAACAAAATGCCTCCAAAACCAGAAAACCCAAACCAAAAGGTAAATCCCCCAAAATCGACAAGTGAAATACATGTTCAGAAGAGAACAAGGGCTTGAAGAGCAAATGATAGGCTTTGAAGAAAAAAAAAATGAGTTGCAGGTTGGAGGAGAGTTGCATGGGCCACAGTTCCACTTGGGGCTGGCCACGTAGGAGGGGGGATTTCTCAAAGGGTACCCAGATCCCTAGCCTCATCTCCCCAGACGGTTTGATGAAGGTGCTTCTACTCATCAGGAAGCGCTGAGTCCCACCTTCCTCAGTTCCACTAGCCAATCACACTCTTTCGTTAGCCTCTTTGTGGTTTCCACAAGATTTGTGCTGTCAGACCGAGGTTTTCGATTCTTTGGCAAGTGGCTGCTGCAGCACCCCGAAGATGAGCTGATCCTTCGCCTAGTCCCCGAGAAAAACAGGCAGGAGGTAGAAGGTTTGCTTCTGTGGCTTTGGATGAGGGGTGGAAGAGAGAGATTAGGGTGATGGCAGAGGAGAAGACAGTTCATATTTGTGAGGGCAACTGAGATCAAGGTAAAAAATAAGGCAGATACAATCCACTGGTACTGCCATTTTCTCTATACAGATCTGTAGAAAAATTAGGGTTCTACGTTTTTGCTCATCGCCTGAGAATGTGGTGCAATATTAGGTTTACATAGTGTAATGTTAAGCTTACATGGATGAGTTAAAAATGTACAGGGAAAAAGCTCGTTGCAACGGACAGGGCCAAACACTGAAAAACTGCCAGCAACTGACCTCCGAAAGCTACAGAGAATGTCTAGACACGAACAGGTCAAAGTTTTCCTGTCACACCCTCGCCTGCTCCTGTCCACGGGCGGAGCAGAGCGGGCGGTCGCTTCTGTGGCTTTGGGAGGCAATGCATCTGTGACGAAATCTGATTAGCACATGTCCAGAGCTTTCGACCCCGAATCCTCACAAGACACTCGCACACCCATTTCACGCATGCAGACCCAACCAGACCAAAACAGAAATCATAAGAAGGTGTGTGTAATGAGGAACATTAGAAAGGGTCGGAAATCTTTATCTTAATGGGCCCCTGAGAGGTTTTTCCCCCTTACGCTTAGGTGAAAAAGGCAACCGAACAAGATCCTCTCGTTCTTTTAAGTGCTTTGTGCGAAATCTTTGGGGGTAGGTGGGGGGAGGGGAGGAGTCTCTGGGACCGAGTGCCAGTCTCCTGGGGGGTGTTGGGGGTAGGGTGGGGGGGGTGCCGTTCCAGTTCATGGATTTACACATCAGCTCAGGAAGCGCTGCTCCCGGCAGTCCTCAGGACCTGGGCCCGTGGCTCTCCCGACAGTCTCCCAGCGTGGAGAAAGTGTCATCTGGGCGAGACGCTGGGGCTGGGGAAGGAGCCCGAGTTCCTTGGCGACTGGAAGGGGATAGCGGTGGACGTGGGGGATCTCTTGGGGCTGCACAGGTCCCCGTTGTGCAGCTTCCACAGTAGCTCCTCGTTCTCCATGGAGAGGCGCTTGTTGACTTTGGATTCCTTCTCCAGGGACTCCTGCAGTACCGCCTGCTCGGTGGAAAGTTGCCTAAAGACAGGAGAATGTCAGAATCCATGGCGGGGTCATGGGTGACAGCCCACACAGAAAAACGCCGGGAAAAAACATTGTCTGGGTAGTTAGAAACTGTGAGCCAGCCCGTGCCTTGGGAATAAGAGGGAGTCTGGCCTGCACTTGCCTGGCAGAGGGACCTGGTGAGCAGAGACCATGCCCTACCCCCCCGCCCCCTGACCCTTCCCCCCCCCCCACACACACAGAGAATGGCTTGATTTTTTTTCTTTTTGGGTCACACCCGGCAATGGGATTACACTGTTCCTCGCCAGGGCCCCTTGGAGGGGAGCGGGTTGAGCTTTCCTCCCCGCCCTGACCAGGGCTCCGGCAGCCGAAGACCTCCAGGACCAGCCACCACCATGCTGAGACCACTCTCCACACACATGAAGGTACTGGCAGAGGGACAAATCCACGTGGGTTCCGGGGCCAAGATCTCCAAGCCTACTTGGATTGGAGTCGAGCATCCTCCACCCAGATCCTCCAAATTCCAGTAGGCGGGGGTCACACCCACCACCTGGCCCCCTGGCGCCGTGTAATCCCATCAACGGCCAAGACTCAGGGATTATAAAATCCAGCTCCCGGAACCGCGCGGCCACATTCGTGGCTGCGCAACATCTTATCAGAACATGTTTTTTATGACATCTTATTATTTCATTCCTACTTTGGACAAACTTGCAGGCTATCGAATGTAGCCTGCCCACAGGGCAGAGTCTGGCAAACTCCCCGTGGCGTACCAAATATGCCAAATACCAGTAACAATGATGGGTCTCATTCTCCTAAAGAGCCTTGAATATAATCTCAGGGCTAGGATGAAAGAGACGTTACTGGGGCCTGCTCGAGGCAATCGACTAATAACAGGATGATGAAATGAAAAAATGAATAACCCAGCAATACTCCCGGGCAACATTCCCGGGGAATACACCTGGCATAGGGGTTACTCCTGGCTCTGCACTCAGGAATTACCCCTGGCCATATGGGATGCTGAGAATCGAACTCAGGTCAGCCAAATGCAAGGCAAATGCCCTATTGGTTGTGCTATCACTCCAGCCCCCATAGCATGTGTTTGAATAAAGAAACGGATGCATGTGGGGGCAGGTTGAGGAGGGGTTTCTAGATACTCTCTCTGTCTTATGCATGCCACTTTCCTCTTGGATCTTGAGATGTTCTTACTCTGAAAACATTTCTAGCGTCAGAAAGTTGGGGGGAGGTTGAGAGAGGCTGGCCCCCCACCCAAGTCTTGGAGTTGGTCTGGGACAAGCTAGTAAGAGCATGAAGCATTCCAATATTTTTAGATAAAAATATGAACACTTTGCTTTTTGTTTTTGGGCCACACCCACACCCATCAGAACTCAGGGGGCCATCCAGG